TTCGGGATTCTTTTCCTCCCAGAAGAATTCATGCAGTTTTAAAATGCCACTTCAATTATAGGTAGCATTGGTTTCCTTTTACCAGCAGCCCTTTAACAACCTCATTAGGAAATAACTTGAATTGCCATTCTGTTTCCCTAATTCTTGAAAGATTTGTTTATGTAATAACTCTGGTTTCTAATTGTGTCCGTCTGTGTCTGCCATAACTCCCAAGCAGTTTATGACATTGGTTTCTTCTCAGGGCAAGAGCAGAACCAAGTTCCACAACTAATCCTGAGGGAATATGATCTCAGAGTTAGTGAAAAGAGAGGATTCACCTTTATTTTAAAAAAAAAAAAAGGGTTGCACTAACATTCCCCATGTTTCAGACATGGAAGAAAAACCCAAACAATTTTTTTAAAAAATGAAAAAATCAGCCATGCATGGAAGCTTTGATTTCAAGCATTCCCTTATTAATACGCCTAATTGTTCAAATAAAGTAAAACCGCAATTTAATATACCCCCATTTATGGGAGTTTCAGTGCAATGGGCAAATTTCCATATAGACATCTCTTTAAAATAACAGAGAAGTCCATCGTATCTAAAATTGCCTGGACAAGGCACTTACATTTACATTATTAAATTTATGCCATTTCTACCAATTTGAAATAGAATTTACAATATGTAATGTCATTACACAAATTATATCAATTGATGCAAATGTTATTTGCATATCTACTTCTGCTTCATTGACTATGCAAAAGCCTTTGATTGTGTGGATCACAACAAACTGTGGCAAATTCCAGGGGACTCTCAAGAGTCTTCTCCAGCACCACAGTTCAAAGGCATCAATTCTTCGGCGCTCAGCCTTCTTTATGGTCCAGCTCTCACAGCCATACATTACTACTGGAAAAACCATAGCTTTGACTATGCGGATCTTTGTCGGCAAGGTGACGTCTCTGCTTTTTAATATGCTATCTAGGCTTGCCATAGCTTTCCTCCCAAGGAGCAAGCGTCTTTTAATTTCATGGCTGCAGTCTCCGTCTGCGGTGATCTTGGAGCCCAAATAAATGAAGTCTGTTACTGCTTCCATTTCTACCCCTTCTATTTGCCAGGAATTGATGGGTCCAGATGCCATGATCTTAGTTTTTTTAATGTTGAGTTTCAAGCCAGCTTTTGCACTCTCCTCTTTCACCCTCATCAAGAGGCTCTTTAGTTCTTCTTCCATCGTATCTAAAATTGCCTGGACAAGGCACTTACATTTACATTATCAACAGTTAGAACCGGTCATGGAACAACCGATTGGTTCAAAATAGGGAAAGGTGTACGACAAGGCTGTATACTGTCACCCTGCTTATTTAACCTATATGCAGAGTACATCATGAGAAATGCCAGGCTGGAAGAATCACAAGCCGGAATGACCCTGATGCTGGGAAAGATTGAAGGCAAAAGGAGAAGAGGACGGCAGAGGATGAGATGGTTAGATAGCATCACTGAAGCAATGAGCATGAAACTGAGCAAACTCAGGGAGGCAGTGAAGGACAGGAAGGCCTGGCGCAATATGGTTCATGGGGTCACGAAGAGTCGGACACGACTTAACAACTAAACAACAAATTACACCTTCATGCAAATTACATAATTCACCAAGAATAACATGCTTTCAGATTTAACAAACATGTAGAAGTCACAGTGGCTCATTAAATCAAGGTTTTCTTGTAATGCAACAAGCAAAAATATTTTGTGTTTGTATTTCATGAACTGATTTCAACTGATTTATTTTCTTATGAACAACTTATAAACAATTCTGCAAGTACAGCATGAAAAATGAATACAATTAGGAACAACAAAATAAACCTTTCCTCAGTTGCTTTTGTACAGCAAAGCAGGGAAATTTAGCCATAGTAAATGGAGGAAAAAAATAATTGTTAAATCTACACACATTGTATCAAGACTCTCATTCTTGGGCTCACCTGTATTACCAGAGTTGCTTGGTGTTTTTTGCTGTACATACTGGGCTTGAATCCAACAGTAATGCAGGTTCCTGCTGTGTCAAGTGGAAGAAGTTCCCCAGCTTGAGGCGATACAGCAAATTCGGGATCACTGCCTGGTAGAAAGTATGCTGTGTAAGGCTCTGGGTACCTAATGAACAGCAAAGGAAAATAAGTCATACAACATTTATCATAATGGAAGAATAATCCCAAGTAATTGGTGTTCTGCTATAGGAGGTCAGCAATTAAACATTAATACTACCACACAGCTTGCCAGCCTGATGTCTGGATTTCCTGAAATACTTGAGAACTGTAAGAGAAATTACTGTTTTGGATGAGGAAGTACAACATCATGGCAGTATGTAATTTGCATGATGAAATCATGATGTAAAAGATATAAATGAAGTAACTGTATTTGCATCACTTGTGTTATGATGTCATGATGCAAATGAAGTAAATTGCTACAGATGTCATAAAATTAAGATAAAATCAGTATTCAAGCTGTCTGCTCCATTCAGATAGCCACAGACTTTTCTGTTATTTCAGAAGGATATCTGTTAGAAATTTGGTTAGTTGCATCTGAAACCTGCTAAACAGGTGTCTAGGAAAGTGAGGTTCCACTAAAACCCACATTCCACCACCCAGGAGAAACATGCACTGTACTAACACACTAAAGAATATATTATTAAAATATATTTCAATATTTTAGTTGCAACTTCTAAACAAATCTCTTCTATGTAAAAGCTAATAGGTAAAACACCATTCCTTGTTGATTAGCATTCACATGCAATTCATCCAGGGCCAAATGAATTACATCAGAAAACAGAAAATTAATGTAAATATGCAAACTTTCTCACACATATGGAATTGTATGGTATACCGATACTTTTAAAAAATATAGAAGCAATTGTCTAAAGCAAAGCAAATTAAGAACAAACATGTAAATATTTTTGCTTATTTTTAATTTTCATGAAAAGAAATGTAAACGATGTTGATTCATGAGTTAAAACAGGAGCTAAGATAATTTGCCAAACGTAGAACAAACATCAGTGAGCCAGTGAGTACAATTCAAGGTGGTTCATCTTTTACTTACTGGTTGAATGGGCCCAGGGATAGTTGGCATCTAGAAAATAATATCTACAGTACAGAGAAATAAAAATTCCAGTCATCTTGTGAAAGGAAGAAGCTAAATTCTTCTCCTGGATTTTCAGGATTTATTTATTTATTGAATTTGTCACCGCCCATCTCATTAAATGACTCTATGAATTTAATAATGTATTTTATCCTATACTAGTTTGAACATTGATTATGGGATCTGAGTATTAGTGTGATACCTTCTGGCAACACCATCATAAAATGTTTGTTCAGCACAGATAAGGAGGCAGCAACTAAAGAACAATAAGAATGTCCTGCAATCAGGGACCTAAGTATCACAAAGTATTTCATTCACTAGTTCACACTGGGGGAGAGGTGGGGAAAATCTTAAATGTAAACTTCTGATTAAAGAGAGGAAAGTATGTTTAAAAGGGGAAACAGTGGGGAGGGTTCTATTTAATATGCTATATATGTATCTAGTAAACAGGAAAACATTATTTCCACTACCAGTACTCAACACCATTAATTTTCCCAGATAAATAAGCTCACCTTATTAGGAACCGCTGATTTCGGGAAAAGAAATTTGAAATTTTAAAGTGGATGAATTGAAAAGCAAGGAAAATAAGGGGAATTTCTCTTTTGTTTCTTACTCATCCACTTTAACTATCACTTCACTGTGCTGCTTTCAACCTAACAGTCAAAATCCAAAGCAGCACATTTAAACTAAAATATGAGGACTGCCTCAAAGTTGTTCACCAGTTCCAGCAGCAGCATCAATAGGTGTAGAGAGACCAATACAGACACAAGTTTCTTGCAGAATTCCTGATCTTTCTCTCTGTCTTCACCAACAGCAGTAAGATCCAGAATGGCTCCTTGTATAATGTTCTAATCTGTTTACAGTATATGCCAGTTTGGCTCCTTTTCCCCAACCTACCATTCCACAATCCCACATACCATGCCAAGAACAGCTGCTGCGCTAGCCAAGATGGAATATTTTAAAGAAATAGCAAGGCTCAAGACAACATTCTAATCAAAACACCCAGAAAAGCAGGAAACACCCAAAAAAGCATCATTTAAAATGGGCACTTTTTTGGTCCAAGTATTTTTGAAACAAACTCTCAAAACACAGGTGCTTTGTGCTGAGAACAGCATGCTGGAAGCAGCCATTTAGAGCTTTAAACAGTTGGCACTTGAATATCTTGGTTTTTATAGAGCTTCTCTGCTGGTACTTGATTTGAGTCCTCACAGAAAACAACCATAATTTTCCAAAGAGCATGAAATATGACATTTATCATTCTGGTAGATTCTTAGAATTCTTCTGTCCTGAGACAGCACGCTACATACTGTATAATACAAAGACAGTAAAAGGTAGTAATAACTTGTGTAATATGCAAAATCCTTTTTTCATCCTACAAAGAAAGAGTGGAAACGAAGCCATTTATATTCTAATTATTTATTTCAAGAACATCTGAACTAGAAAGCTCACAGATGTCTTGCTACAGCAATAAAGTACTATTTTCAAAGAAAACATGACAGCAGTTTTGTTCCATGTTTGACTTCCATAGGCAGATACTCCCTTCAACCCTCTATTAATTTATAGGTCAGAGCTCTCAAGCACAAAACCTCTCTGCTCTTCATTAAAATGGCCCAACTTCTTTTAGACTTCCATGGAAACCTGAAAATAAGGTGCTGCTGCTTTAAAAGTTCTACTGATTCCTAGCAGGGAAATGTGAAAGATTTCTTCCAAATCATTTTCAAAGCACGCACACACAGCCCTAGCGATTAAAGTAAATTTATCTTAACTTCTGTTCTTTAGACATTAATGAAACTAAAATTATTTTCAATACCTGCTGAAAAAGCAAGATTCATAATTTTATTCCAAGATAAAGAAAAATATATTGGTATATATATCTGTGTGACTTTCAAAATAAATTACATATGTTAATTGGCTAATTAAAAGGAGGAGGATGGGGAAAACACTTTCCAAACAAAATAAGATTATTCTCTAATTTCATTTAACGTGAAATGGCAGAATCAAGGTTGCATCATAGCCCTTTTTATAAATTCTTTATTATACCTTTTCTGAGAACATTAAATCTCTTACCACTATCAACCCCCTACCAGTAGATTATAGCATTCACAAGGCAATTGCTTCACTTCTGTGCTCTAAAATAGCCTTTTCCACTGCAATGGATATCTTTAGCATTGTGATAGAAACTTTGCCATGTTTTGAAGAATCCTCTTCAATGAGTCAAAACAGACAGCTGTGACAACCGCCCCTCTCAGATACACAAATGCAAGAAGTGAGCTCTTTACAGAAAATCAATTATGGCCAAGGATATCCTTTGAAAATGATGATGGTAAGATTTCATCCTCCCTTTTCCAAAAATATCACTGAGTAGGTCGTAAAAAATCAATTTTAAATTTTAAAAACTTCCCAATTCCCACAAATTAGTCATATATGAACTCTGCCCCCGGAAAAAAAAGTAATAAAATGGGAAATACACATGTTCTTTTTTAGCCCATTTAGAATCTTGAAAATATTTCCTAACCTCCCCAGTCTTTTGCCCACCTTAATAGGACATAACAAGGGATAGAAAAAAAGATACTGCAGCAGTAGAGTTCTGCTGAGGGCCACATGTTTGTCTTAGCAACCTTTCATGGGGGTATGATTCTTCTCCTAATTCTGCCCCTCATTCCTAATTTTGCCCCTTCAGTTTGTATGATGGTGAGAAAGTGTCTTTAGCAATGCTTGTGAAGGTGGGAAAAGGCTCCAGGAGAGGCAGGTGGCCTTTTAACTTCATTAGTTGCTCTGAGGATTGCAAATCAGTTTTGTGAAACAAAATCAGAAAATCCCAAAGCCATCATTCCAATAGTAATCCCTGGAAATGACTCACTCTCCTCATTATGCAACTTTACTCCCAGCCTCTTCAAAATCAGCCCTATACAACATAACGGGGCACCACAATATTCCATAGGCTGAAGTTTAAGAGATGTGAGAGACAGCATTAGCAACCAAAGCCACACTGGCAATTCTTGAGCCTAGATTTCATTTCAAGCCAGAGAAGAATAAGGGAGCTTTAAAACTTTGCCTATCCTCTGAGGCAGTTTTTTGGCCTTCATTTTTTTCCCCAAAAACCATCTTAGGAAAATATCAGCTTCTCTATCATAAATGTGTTAAATTGCCAACATCATGACTTTCTGTTTTATGTTCTTATTTATTATACTGAAGTCCTCACTGCTTTTTGAAAGGCCAGAGCAGCAGAATTTAATTCTGGGAGTTGAAGTCCACACATCTTCAAGTTGCCAAGTCTGACAAACATTGCTCTGATACTGGATCCCTGTAGCCCCATTATACTGTGAAATTTTTGGAGGACCTTGCCCATTGTGCTGATTTACTTTGGAATATTATTGCGCCAAAGCAAATAATGCAAATGCAATTCTGTCGTGTGTTATCTAGAGCTGTAGGGGAAGCATTCTCTGTTGACCTACCTCCTGGCTCTTGATGTTTCCGTTCCCCTCTGAAGTGAAGGAACTATAGCACTTTCCCAATCCCCCTCCCATTCTTTTGTAATAATCGGAGAGGGTTTGCACTCCTTGCATAATCACCAGGTTTTACAAGGTGGTTGTTCTGAAGATAACATGAGGAAAAACTCTCTGTGCACTGGCTTGACCTCCCTGAGGAAAGCAAGTCATAAATCTAATAGGAAGTTAAAAATTAAAAACTACCTTTGTGTACTGGATTCTGGGGAGATTCTATAACTTCACAGCTCCAGCAAATGTTAATCTGCTTTAGAATTCTCATACCAACTCTTTTCACCTATAAGCTGACTTACTTGTATATGAAGAACCAAAGAAAATGCTCAGTGAACCATCTTATTGACTAATTCTGTAGCCTCTGCTATTCTTACCATGATGAAATGCTCACTAGAGTCTACATATCACCCAAATAAATGAGACATTTTTCTCTTGAATATTCATACCTTGTCTGGCTTGTAAGCTTAAAGCTGACTACAGACTCCTTGTTTAAACCAATTGCTTCAATATTAATAACATCATCTACTTCTGGATCTGTGGCAATGAACAATATTGGAAATTTCCAAATGCCTCCTGTGCTATGCTGTACCACCAAAGTTGCTGGATTCCTGAAAAATTAAGCATACAATATTAATTATAATTAAAAGTTTAATGAAACATAAGTCAAATCAATGACAGAGGTGCAATGTAAGCTTATATTCCTGTAGCATAGTAATGCATTACACAGCTCTTTCTAAATTGGATTGTAGATATTATGTTTAGGCAGGATAGAAAACGTTTTCTTACTTTGGAAGGACCTGACAGCTAAATATTGTATTACTTTTTCTATGTGCTTTTTTATGAAATGAAAAACCAAAACTACAGTGGTACCTCGGGTCACGAACGCTTCTGTTCATGACCAATTCGGGTCACGAAGAGCACCGTTTGCAAAATTTTGCTTCCGTTTGCGAACTCCACATCAGGTGACGAACAGGGTCCGCGGCCATTTTTCCTGCTGTGACACGTGGTCGTGGCTTCCTGTAGGGAGGGGGACTCTCCCTCCAAACAATAACCTCCTCCCCATCCG